CTTTTCTTGTCCGCCAATCACCGCGTCACTAAACAAGGATAGAGACTCGGGTGAAAGCATCTATCCTCGTCCGAAGTTTGACCATTCTTTCTGCACAGAAAAGATACGGGACGCGCAGTCTATTTCTTATATGTCTATGTGTTCAATGTCGTCTACGGTCAGATCTCCCGACTAGCAGTCCATGATTATATAGTCAAAGATATATGGTAACACAGTGTCCATTAGTGTGAGTGAGACACACCGATATGCTCTTTCTCACACTAATGGACACAGTGGGTGCGTTCAGACAACTTAACAGTTGCACAACGGTTGAGAGATAATTACTTCTGATTGGATCATACTTTTGGACCCGCTATAGATTTTGAAGAATAGTCCTATCATAAGTGATGATCTTTCAACCGTTGAGTTGTCTGAACGCACCCAGTGTCGTCTGTGTTCCTATTTGGAAAGCACCCTTTCTACTTGCGATCTGCGTCTGCATCTAAATGTAAATCGACCTTAAACTAGCCAACTTCGCGCATGCGCGTTATTGCTGGCTTCACATACATCAAAGGTGTCGACATGGAGTTGCGCTACTGTATATACTGTGGATACTCTCTGTTAATATTTATGTGAAAAAGGCGGTATAGTGCGAGACACTAATTTCAAATTGCGTACGAGTTTTCAAACGAGTGTTTTCTTTTGTTGTTAGAAGAAAGATGAATTTTGATCCTTTAGGATTTACAAGACAAACTGAGATGGTGTTACGCGGTGTAGGTGCTGAGAATTTAATAAAAGAGATTAAAAATAAAAATATATCAACCGATCAGTTACATAGGTTAACTGAAGAAGATCTTACGATACTCGGTATTTATTCTGACAGTATTTTATTTTGTAGGATATTTTTGTGTCATAAGTTATAATTGTTACAGTTAATATACTACGATGTAGTTTTCTAAAATACATAAAAAGTTTATTTGACATTTTTGATATATGTAACAATATATAAGTTTGTTTTTTTTCGAGTCTGTTGCACTATAAGTTACCTTAGAACTTGTGGTGAACTAGTGATAGTAAAGCTTGTCTTTATGAGTAAGTCAGTTCTAGTGCAGGCAAAAAAGAACAGATTTTTTTTAAGATTTATTAATGTTATTCAATTGGTTTCTTATCAGGTGCTAATGAAGACCAAGCAAAACGTATTATCAATGCCTTATATGTTTCCAAGAAGCACAAATCAAATATAAAGCCAAAACCTTATCATAGGTATTAGCAATTACAGAAAAATAGATATTCTATGTATAACACAAAATTAATAAAACTCTTGAAATTTTATTTATTACAGAATATCTGAAAAAATAGATCAAATGTTGCAACAAGAAGAGACACATTTACATGTGATTACAGATTATCTAAAATACTGCAAACTCAGATTGAAAAAAGAAAGAATCAACTGTTTTGTTGAACCTGATAAGGCTTTAAGTGCTTCCAAAATTCTATGTACCACTGCTGGCATCACTCTTAAAGAAATAACTGATACAGAGTTGAAACTAAAAAACCTAGAAACTGTGATAATTAAAGTATGTATTGAATATACTACACACTTTTTACTTACATAGTCAATCAAAAATCACTTATTTCTATAATATATTTAAGCGTGTTTGATACATGAGTCGGGAAACCTTAAAAAACATTTTATTTTGTTCAATCGGTTTTTTTATCATTTATAGTATATAGTATATTAGGAAATATATAAATTATATATATATATATTTTTTTTATGTCTTTATATGTTTTTTCTTACAGCCTCAAGGAAAAAAATTGTCTTTTGTATTGTATTGCATTCCAATTGGTGGTTTATGCATTGGAATGTGCATACTATTACACAAAGTTTGGAAATAAAAAGGTTTTGTAAGATATATTTATAAAAAATACTATATATAAGTTTTGTATACTATATATAAATTTTGTATACTAATACATGTTGTGTACATGATCTACAAACCACAGTTATATAAGGCCATACGAGCAATTCGCAGGATATTTGAGCGGAAACTGTACGTGTATATGTATATATATACACATGTAACGACTTCAATTTGTAAATTTTTACAAGTGAGTGTTTTTTTTTTTTTTTTTGAGTTGAAAACTCAATTCTTAAATTCATACGGGATGCTAGATTTGCATCTCACATATGACAGACCCCGGATACCCTCCTAACTAATTTTAAAATATTGCGAAAAAAAAATTTATTTACATTTCGCAAGTTGAATAAAAATTATCAAATATACGTAATACCGATGCGCGTGCACACAGCGCGGAATCGAACCACACAATGTAGATAGAAAAAAATCAATGTGTGCGTGCACATAGCATATGCACCGACAAACCGTTTGTAAACATGACTACGTAGTTGCGCTAATATGCATCACCGTGGACGTAGCGCTAGCGAACAGGAAAGAAGAGCGATAACAACGGTTGTGTCTGCTCTCAGTTTTCTCTCTGGTAGCAATATAATGCGTTATATAAGTTGATTTTTTTTCTATATTTCATTTTTGAACAACAAAATGCTACATAGATAATAATTTTAACAGAAAAAATTATATAAATTACCAACAACTTTGTATTTGTTGTCAAGTTTTAAATTTCTAAGTAGATAAAATGAGAATGCAAAACGAGATGAAGGCTATTTAATTATAACAAACAAGTATTATGTAAATAAAGAATAAAGTTATAAAACTTGCGCGGATGGGAATAAACATTTTCCTAAAAAAAAAATGAATCTTAAAATCAATTGTTCATTGTTTGCGTTCTGTGTAACACCGGACAGTAAAAAAATCTCTGTCTTGACTTTCAAGGAAATGTGTAGCTTGCGTGGTTGGTTTCTCGGATCGATGGATTTCGATCGTCTCGCGCCGCGGCGGCAGCGACGACGACTGCCGTCGCGACGCTCGTTTGGCGTTTAACCACCGTTCGGTAGAGGTGCTTCGTCGCAGCTGCTAGGGTTTGTCCGTTTCCAGGTCGCTCGCGTTTGCTTACGGAGGATGTAGCAAATTACGGTAATAAGGCCGCGCGCGTTTCTTTCGGCTAGCTTGGAGAAACGCGTTCGCGCCGTTCTTTTAAGGAAACGCTGACCGAATCGGATATGGCATCTGACGACGCTGAGACACAGGAGGCGCGGGAAGCGCAGGAAACGGTCGAGGAGGACCTGAGGATCTTCGAGACACTTCGCATCTCCTCACCCCCTAAGGTCAATCGATAGCGAATGCACTCTCACCTGTTCTTCTCACCTGTGTGACCCATTGCACGAAAAGCACGCCGCTCTCTCTCTCACTGTTGTACGAACACGAAAATGTTCCGCACATGTGCATAATGTTAGGAAAGAGGGTGTCAGAAAGGAGGGTGCGCGTGAATTACCGCGCAAGACTGGTGATGTGAGTTTTATTTTCTACTCATCGCAGGAAATCACGAGAATATAGATTTACAAAAAAATGCGCAGGTGTAGCACTACTTAAAAAGTTTATTTAAATTTTAAATTAGTAAGAAGGAAAAATGAAACGTGTATGTTTTTTTATATTTTAAATCATTTTTAACATTTTTATATAAAAAAAATTAATAGAAATAAAAATTTTATTTGTCACAAATAAACACAACCTTTGGCCTCTTATAATAAATATATGCAGCAAATTATTGTTTTATATTAATATACAGTCGACATTAATATACGCAGTACGTGCTTGAACGAAGAGTTGTAACGGATTATACGTACCCTAATAGGCACATTTGTGAAAATATTGCACAAAAAAGGCATCATGAATGGCGACGATTTTGCAATGATTGCACTAAGATGATTCGCCATAACGCAACAGTTTTGTCGAAATAAAATTTTGTAAATAATATTTGTCAAAAATTGCGAAAAAGTCGTTATGCATTTCCACAGTATATACCTCCAATAGGCAAATTGTGAAAATATTGCACAAATATGACATCATGAGTGACGACAATTTCTTGCATTTCTTCATATNCAATNATATTTCTACATATTTNAAACATCACATAGCTGAATTTCTTTTCTCAATTATTGGACAATTTCTTTGTGAAATTAATTTTGCAAATATACTGCTAAGATGATTNGCCATATCGTTATTCTTTTGCCGAAATAGTATTTGGAAAGTAATTTTGCAAACAACTACAAATATTTTAGAAAAGATCAATGTTTTTACATCTATTTCCTAAAATATGTCTGTATAATTGCAAATTACAATTTTAGTGCAAGATTTCGTCACATAATTTTGTAAATGATTTCCTATCAGGGTAGTAAATTACATCACAGATTTCCTCTCTGTTGCTATACATATCACGTATAGATAACATGCACGTACGCATTCACATGCTAATCGTATACGTACGGTCACGTGCATATCCGTATCACCTGCCACAAAGGCTCTCATTGTACCTATATCAATACGTACACAGAGCGTCAAAAAGCAATAAATCAATAACGGAAGAAAGCAATATATTGATCATTTGTGAGAAACAATTATTCAACGACTGTTGCCAATACATCGATTTGTCACTTTAAAAGATTGATTAATACTCCTGTTTAAGTATTCAATAGTGTTTAAGTATTCTGTACGCATTAAATATTTAAATGTGCAATTTGTTAAAAACGTCTCTATTTTTTAGTAATGCAAAAAATTGTAAAGTTTTTTATTATACCGCAGTATAATATTTGTATATTAAATTGGAATAGAAAATTAAGTCTGTTTTGCTTCACAAAAAAGTATGTTGTTTTCTTCTTTGTTTTCTGTATCGTTTAATGCGTTTTAAAATGACACACAAACGTAGCGCGAAAAGTAGCGATGTGAGTGTGTTATCAATTTTTGAATCGTACATGTAATGATTACTTAATTAATTTTAGCTGTAAAGTAAGATAGAGTGACAGTACAATAATAATTTTTATATGTAAAGATGATTGTATATAGCTTTAAGAATTTTCAAAGAACAAATGAATTTTGGCTATTGAAGCAATAACACTGTTGTTGGAGTGTATATATTTAAATCCGTTTATTAACAATTAGATAGCATAAACGCTTTCGACCTTGTATTAGGTCCTTTTCAAATGCACTGACAGTCGCGATTTCACCCTTGTAAAGTGTTGGTTGGGATGGCTAGTGCGGATATTCTCGATCAGCATTGAGCGACGTATTTTATCTAAGAAATTTAAATGCATTTGAAAAGGACCTAATACAAGGTCGAAAGCGTTTATGCTATCTAATTGTTAATAAACGGATTTAAATATATACACTCCAACAACAGTGTTATTGCTTCAATAGCCAAAATTCATTTGTTCTTTGAATAATTTTTTTTATTAATTTATTTAGAGCAAGTAAGTCACGCGACGCGTAAATATATTTCAGCCTCGCGGATGTCTTTTTAGTCTGAAACTTCTCATTCGATCTTCCGTCTCGCGCGTCGCCCTAGGTGAAACAATTCACGCGTTTTAATTGAACGCGAGATTTCATCTCATGCTCGTAATGATCATCGCTTTCTTTCGCTGTAAGAGCCAGACTCTCGATTTGCGCGTATCGCGAATGTACGTATATCGACTGAACAAGGCTCGAACAAGGGCTCGCGTTGCCATAGAGTTGCACGAGAATCGATTTCACCTGTCGCTGCTACCCCCGCTCTCGCGACCTGTCGCGTGCTTTCGATCTCAATTTATAGGGGACAGACCGAAGGGACTGACTCATCTTATGTTCACAGCTCTGCTGTTACGGTTTTTTAACTTTTAACAAGCGGACTTCTAAATTATTTCAACAGCGTGTTTCTTAAAACGTTTTACGCACTACTCATTGCGATTTTATTACAGTTGCGTGTATAAAAATTTCAAAGTTTGCGCTACACACGAGGCGCGTTGCCTCTCAGGAAACTATCTCCTTATCTTCCTGACGATAAATTTGCACTTTTTACATGAGTACGTGCATTCGATATCTCGCGGTATTTTCCCGGGTAATCTCGCGCTTTCGAAGTAGATACCGTACGATAAATAGGTCGGCGTTTTTCGCGCACGTTTTTCAACGAGACTCCGCGGCGGGAATATTTATGGGCGGCAAAATAATGGGCATTTAATATCATTGGACTTAACCGGTGCGGAACTTGTGGTATTCCGCACTGGGAAATGTGTGTGTTCTGGCGCGAAAACGCGCTCTATACTTCAACTCGCACATTGAAACTATTTTCGGGTCACATGATATAACAATTCATACATTTCGGCCGCGGTCAGCGACCTGTCGCGTAATTGAATTGCGACACGATTGATACACACGGATGTGGAAAGCTTCTGATTTTAAACTGATTCCCCAGCAAGATAACGTGATGAATTAAATATCGCGCTATTAGTGCATTTACATTAGGGCTGCGGTTATTCGAATAAAAAATAATCCGGATATTCGGATAGTGACGTCATCGACTATTCGTAATCCGGATACTTCGAAGTATCCGGATTTCGAATAGCTGAGGAACGAATATTCGGATATTTGTACACTCCGAATAAAACGGATAGAACAATTCGAATAATGAAGGTCGCATTGTGCAGTCAAACATGTAACTTGCGACATTTCTCCCTCACTAGTTTGAGATTTATAAAACTTACACTATAATCGTGTGTATATGTATTAATATTTAACGTATTTTTAGCAAAAATACGGTTTTAACTTATTCATGTTCGACATGATAATGATTGAATTATTTTATAATTTTATATGACTCGATTCAGAGACAGATCTCATATAATACATGTAATTTCTTTATTGTTGTTAATAATCAGTTTTTTATCTAAAAAGTTCACAGAGTTATTATGTGTCTTAATAGTGAATATTTTAACGTATTATTATAATTATTGAAAGCATTTAATA